GCCCGTGATGCTGTGCCCTCTATAGCTAAGATGGTGAACAACAGCTCGACCAGGAGCTGAGCTGCCGTTGAGTCCCCGGCCACAGCGTAGGCTGCCATGAGCTACCGTGAGCGGCTGGCAGCCAGCATGAGCAGCTGTGAGCCACCATGAGCAGCCGTCCAATGGCCGGCGAGCGACTGCCTCACCCGGGAAGAGCGCAATGATAATACCAACATGGGCCAGTGAAGTGACGTTTTCCACAACTGTACTGAAGAACAAAAGAACAGCAACTTGTCTGTTTCCCTTCCCCGATTTCCCCAATCCTGTTCACATCCCCCAATTCCCCAATAAAACCTATAAAAAAAAAAACCAAAAAAACAAACTGAGGTTTGTATTGTGCTTGGTCATTTATTATCTTACTATATCTTCTAACAGTCAGGTAAAATAGATATGGAAGTCCTTGGCCTAAGACCCAACCTTTCTCAAATAGGTGCCCTGTTCTTGCACTGTGAGGGCCCTCTGATGCACATAAATGGACAAATTGTCATGTCCACTAGGATCTTTATTCCTACTCTTTTGATCTTCGGGCTAGAGGTATATACATCAGCAGTATACACCATCCTCAAGAATATAGACCAAATACAGGCCGAAGGCAGCACATATACTAAAATTGGAATGATACAGAGAAGACTAGTATGGCCACTGTGCAAGGAAGACATGCAAATTTGTGAAGTGCTCCATAGTTTTAAAAGAATATGGACCAGGAGAAAGGGGTGTTGGCACAGGAATCATGGGTGCCAGTTCCTGAAGCATGGTTTGGAATGGGGTGGGAGAGGAGCTCTCACTGAGCTCTCCATAGTGGCTGCACTAATTTACAATCCCACCAACGGTGCACAAGGGTTCCCTTTTTTTCACATCCTTGCCGACACTTGTTATATGTTGATTTATCAATGATAGCCATTCTGAGAGGTATGAGGTGATAAACCACTGTGGTTTTAATTTTCATTTCCCTGATAATTTAGTGATGTTGAACATCATTTCATGTATCTGTTGGCCATCTGTACGTCCTCTTTGGAGAAATGTCCACTCAGGTCCTCTGCCCATTTTTTAAATTGGATTGTTTGGCTATTTGATCCACTTCATATTTATTTTCCATTTTATTAAATCATCAGTTATTTAGAGCTTACAACCCAATGGTAGTGGCCAAGTAGGTCATGGCAGGCCAATGCTTTCATTACAATAACTACTGGGTGGATATATTTTTTAAATCATATTTTTAAAGGCATAAGGTACAGCTGTTAAAACAACTAGGAATGAGTAAACTAAAACTCCTGGGGGTGGGGCTGAAGACAAACCATTCTGAGATGCTCTGGGCTGAAGATCCATCTTGACCCAGATGAAAGACCACTGCCAGGGAAGAGAGACACCCACGAAGCTTTAATGCTTATGGGGGGCTAATACTCAGAAAGTTGAGGTCCTCAAATGCAGACCCAGATTTTCCCAAGAGCCATTTGTTGGTTTCTGGGGCTGCATGTGAGACTGGGGAGGTAGGCCCAAAATTTCCAAAGTACAAAATGAAATGTCTCTGGACCTGATGATATTTATATAAAAAATACTTATCAGAAGAAGAAGCCGGTATCAAGCATATAGTCATTGTGTCCATTGTGTCCATCCTAAGACATTGTGTCCATTCTGAAGCTGTTTGGGGAAGGAGGCTAGGTTGTTGAGCACAGGATTTCTGAAGGATAGACCAGGATCTCCCACGATCTCTCAGGGCTCAGGAAACAAAGATCCACTAGGCTGTCAATCAGAAGCCCAAAGCGCCACTGCCAAGGAGCAGAGGCAAGAGCAGAAGTAGAGAAAGTCTCATGAAGACTGTAACCCAGCTCAATCCCTCATAGACTGAGGATGTGATCACCTCAAACCAATCTGCCTGCCAGGAAAGGGGACCCTCTCTTTGGAAGATCATATCATCTGAATGTTTTATATACAATGTATGGCATACAATAAAAAAAATTACTGGATTTGGAAAGAAGCAAGAAAATATAACCAAATTGGGAGAAAATAAAACCAGATAAAGAAGATCTAGAAAATTGAATTAGCAGACAAGGACTTTAAAATAAGTGATTAATATGTTTAAGACATTAAAGGAAAAGGTAAACTGAGAACTTCAATACAGAATTTATGTCTATAAAAATGGGGTAAAATAGGCATTCTACAACTGGGAAATATAATATCTGAAATTAAGAACACAATAGATAGGTTTAACAGCGATTTGGACACAGCAGGAGAGAGTATTAGGAACTGGAAGAGACGTTAGTTAAAAATGTCCAAACTGCAACACAAAGAGAAAAATGAATGTAAAATATAGATAAAAGTTTGAGATATTTGAGACATGTTAAACTTTTCTAACATGTTAGAAAAAGAGGAGAGAGAGAAAGGGAAAGAGATATAGAAACAGGAACAGAAGAAATATTCAAAAAGATAATGTGAATTTTCCAAAACTAAGGAAATACATCAACCAACAGATTCCCAAAGCCCTCAGGACTCTAAGCACAACAAAAATAAAACCATTTCCTGGTACCTCAAGCAAAAGTTTGGAAACAAGGTAA